ACGACATCCTAGCGTGACTGAAATGAATTTAAATTGGACTGCATGATAAACAGTATTGAAACCCTACTCACTGTTGGTTTGTGAGTGATTACCGGTCTTTTTCAAATTGCGGAATGTTACACGCAGCACACGCCATACTGTAGGTTAACATAACCTAAAACTGGCTGGGACGCAATGTTCGACCCAGAATAAAGCCTCGTCTTTACATACCACGGTTGGTCCCCCTAACTTAAATGAAACAAGCTTCATGCATTGGTTCGCAGAGGCTGAAAACAAGCGGGCTACCTCCCATCTTATTTTGTCCACCGGTAGGATGCGACATTTGTGGTCAGTAAGGTTTCGCGGAGCCGCAGAGGGCTGTTAGGCACGATGCGCAAGGGAGGCGACAATTCAGCAACGTGACTCCTGAGAATCAACTACACCCAAAACTTGGTTAAAAAAAAACACAAGAAAAAATGCGAGCATTAGGAGGCAATTAAGAAGAAGAAGAGTAAGCAGATGTGATCACTGTGATTTGATTGTTGTCCCAGCGATCACAGCTGCATTTTCTCCCTTAGCAAACAAACACAAGCACCCACTTGAAAATAACGTAGTTTGAGTAGACTGCGGAGGGAGACGGTTTCCAAATCACTGCATTTCCCATCAAGGCAGGTGCCGAGGCCAAGTTGCCCGCAATGGCGGTAAAATTGAAGGGCGGTAAAGCAGCCCAGAAACCCTGAAGCGGTCAGTAAAAAAGGGGGGCCGAGGCGCATACTTACCTCTGTCGGTCGGTAGATGACCTGATTATGACAGTCCTCTGAGCTCAGGGGTTTGTAGTCCAGGGCAGCCTACAGATCAGTAAAGGTAGTGGATGAACCCACCTCTGCAAACTGGATATTGAAACGCAGAAAGTCGGCCAACTCTGCTGCGGCATCGATCTCAGCCTGAAAAATGGTCTTCCCCTGGCCCAACATTGTGGCAGCCAAGAGCTCGTATCGATACTTGCCGGCGATCAGATCAGCCGCCCTGAGGAAAACTTCGGCTCGTTGTTTGAAGGGCTGTCTGAACCAGGTCTCTCGAGCCTTCAAACACGTATCTACTGCCTTCTTGACTTGTTTCTCATCCGCCATATAGCTTTTGGTAAAGGTTTTTTTGTTGTCAAAAGGCTAAATTGACGAGAGTTATAGAGATAGTCAGGGAAAGGGAGCTTACAAAAGGGTGCGCGAGGACCTCCTGCGAGGTTAATTCTTCGCTGCCTATGCAGATAGGGACAGTGAACGGCGCCTTGGATTTCATATCCTGCAGGGCGCTTTCAAGTTGCTCCCGCTCTGGGCTCTTGGCTGCATAGGTTTGAATGGGTTCATTGATGGCTATGAAGCTGCGGCGTTGAACGGCAGAACAGACACTCCTGAAAGAAGCAGGTGGGTTGAAAGTCAGGCGCGATATCAGTTAAAAAATGTAGAGGGCTAAGATCTCTGCTTACAGGAACCATGCGGCTAGCATTTGATTCTGCAAATATTATTCCCTTTGCCGCCCTCGTAGCACGACCGCCAACTCTACTATAAATGGGGGCCAGAACTCTTGAGTCAAGCCGTCAACTTCCACTACAAAAACCTTACCAACTTATTAACCGTAAGTCTCCTGGGCTCTGCTCGTGACTCTAATGACCACTTTTTGAAGAAAGTTCGCCTAAGGTGAAGTTTTGACTTAGGCAAATTCAGTGCCTTCATCACTGTAATAATTAATTAAAGGCGGTTAATATTTTTTAGTCTTTCGT